AGGCTTCTGTTAAACTAACAATTACAATTAACAATGGTAAAATTGCATTTTATTGCTACCAGAAACCTCTCCTGCAGAAACAGGACTGCTATTTGAAACCATTCACTTGGCCAAAAGTTGGCACAGAGAGCAGCTGTCCCTAAAAATTTCATGAACCAGGTTCTACTCTTGAGCAGGAAGAGGCATCAGTGTGGGGTTTAAAGAAAAAAAAAAAAAAAAGTGAGGAAAAAGGGAGAAGGCAATTTACACCACCTCAAGACACAAGTGGACAAATGACCACAGGGAAAGCCAGCATGTGAATTTGCCATCACTTGATGAGTGCATACACGCATTATTTAAGGTAAGTTGAATCACTTACTGCAAGGTATCGCAAGCTGAAAGGGAAAACGCAACTGTTTAGGAGAAAAAGATTGCAGTTTTAAACCCTCAGATCACCTAGGTAACCTGTTCATCTGGCTGAGAGAAATCAGTTACTAGGCACTTGCAGGTATTGGTAGTTCAAGGTATACAGGAAAAAAACCAAAAAACAACCAACCAAAACCTAATGGTTACCTGGATCTGATAACTGATAAAACCAAAAAATGCCTCCTCCTCATTAAGACTTTACAATACTATTTAGTACTAAGTAAACAATTTGCTCCTCCACTAAAATAAAGCAATGGCTTTTGCACTGCTTTAGAGCAATTTAGCTTCTACTCTGATGAGTCCATTTGTGGTTTCAGTGAAATAAATGTTTGCATTTGAAGGTCATCAGTAATTTGCAGAGACAATATGGCAGTGCAAGAGGAAAGAGAAAGACTTCATTTCCGCATCATCTAAACTCTATCATCATGGCTAAAACTGCAAGCTTGGGATAATTGGCTTTAAAAAAAAAACCACAACAAGAACTTGAGGGTCTCCTCACAGCTGTTACTGTGCTGTCCAGAAAAGAAGCCTTGTAGACTGTCCAGCTGAAATGGTTGTGAAGTCAGCTTCCCAGTGTCTAGTACTGTAATGGCTGCTTGCAGACAGGCAATTCCAAACAGCAGCACTCAAGCATCAACTCTCCTGTCCTCTGTGCTCACAGAGGGAGGAGATGCTGTGAATTCTGACCAAGCAGCAACAGTTGAACTTTTATTCACCACCGTACTGGGGAAAAAAGTATCTGCCTGATCTCATTCTGGTAGTGTGAAGGTGGGACATCCTGAGCGTATTCATCTATTAGTAAACTAGTATTTGAGCTGGGTGCTATTTATTACTCAAATGTTATTTTATTATTCATAACTTCTTCTAACTAATAAAACAGGAAGATCAATTAAGATACGAGTTAAAACCAACACCCACCACAGCAGACAGAAGTAATACCAGATTTCTGCACTATGACAAAATATTCTAGGATTTCTCTTAAAAGACCCTCCCCAGCATCTATGAATGAATGATCCTCATATTTTACTGAGAAGTAAAGTTTGTAGACAATGAAGAAACTTAATGCCTTCTTAAATTACACTGATTTTGCTTACATTCTCCCTGGGTTAGTGTTACCTCTTCATATAACTGTCAAATTCCTCTTTGCCAAGGCTCCCTAAGTTTAAAAGGGAACTGTTCATGTGAAGAATGTGCACTGTGTATTTTGTGTACTCATCAGATAAATCACCAATGCCAACAGGAATACAGTTTAAGGGTCGGTTTGGAGTTTTTTAATTCAAATTGCTACACATTCATTTCAGCATTCAAACAAATTTAAGCTCTGGAATACCTGATAAAACAATTAAAAACCACTACCAACAAAAAAAGACAAAACCAACCAATCAAACCCTCAAAACCATCATTTATTCCTCATCTGAAATACTTGTCAAGTTTTACGTATTTGAGAGAAGTTACAGAGGTAAAGCCTTACCAGTCCTAAAGTGTGTCTTCATGGATGTCTACTGACGTCTGTGCTGGGCTCTGAGCACCAACACCAACAGAAATTAACAACTCAGCTGTGAGGATTTTACCATATTAAAGAAAGCAAGGTACTGAAAGTTAGAGGGTACCTTTGTGACCTTCAGAGGCCACAACAGAGCTGCATAATGAATCAAATAAGGTAACAGTTGTGCCAAAGTCATTCAATTTTCTAAATAGGGTGCTAAGTGCAGAGCTTAATTACCAGTACTTTCCATATTCACAAATTACATAATCAGTCTGGCTGAGGAGAATTTGAAGCTGGGACTGTCTGAACATCCGCCTGAGAGCAAAGAAGGAGAGAAACACTGGATGCAAAGCATCCCTCCTCATCCCTTCCTTAATCAGAACACTGACTACAAATCCCACCTTCAAATAGCTCCAAATCCAAGAATTATTTATTTGGTCTCTTAACACAGACATCGAACATCTTAACCACGTCTCATCTAATCTGTCCCACCACGTGAAGGGTTCTCCACCCTAGTCTTATGTAAACTGTCCAACAATAAATACTGCAGCTGAAGTAATTATTCCCTTACGGCATCCTATGGCTTTCTCACATCCACCTTTATTCCAATCCTTTGCTTTTTAACTAGTATATTCCCAGCCACAAAAGGAAAGCCAGTCATCTGCAAACATCCCTAAACATTGGCAGTAGCCCTTCACCTGTACCTACAACTATCACCAGGGTGCTAAAAGGGCAAAAGGGAAAAACAGTTGTTTTAGATTTCACAACCATTTAGCACTTCTCCTCTGTGCTGTGTGTATACATAGTGGGAATGTAACTGGTGCTAAAACTGTTTTCCCCAGAAAATGTTCACACCTGATATTCAGAAACTTACTCAAGGCTACAAGCTGGCATCACATAAACTTTCTAAAAGAGATTCACAGTAAGTAGCTGGTAACTAGAGAGCAGAATACACTTCAATATTAGATCAGTTCCACATATCCTCTTTTCAATGTACATGTCCAAAGACTAAAGATTAGGCTTGTAATTGGGCTTTGGAAAATGAAAATATCTCTGAAAACTCATGTTCTTACATGGAAGACAAAATTAGACCATTCTATTTAGATAAAAGTGTTCTCTACTCACTGACATAGCTGCTATTACTTAAATAATCAGCCATCAGTCTTGATGTAGATGTAGCAGCTACAGAGACAAGCCTTTCCACACCATCTGAATTGAGTTTGACAACAGAAGATGAAATCGACAGGGCAGTTGAAAGGCACTAATTTTGCCAATACCTCACCACTTCGATTGCATACATGACGGAGATTTTCCATATTATACAGAAATCACAATAGATTTTTATATTACCTTAGTATCTGAAGTGATAGCCTCATGGGAAAAACACAGCTCTGGTTTTCTGGTATGCTTATCAACACACTCAGTATATCCTGAGTTTAGTGGCCATTGAGTTATAGTTTAGTACTTTTTATCCAGAACTCCTACTGTTTTGTCCTTTAAAAAATAAAGGCAGAATCTGACATAACGTTTGATGTCAGACTGCCTAGCGTGGTAGGTTTTTCTACAAGACACCTTTACCTTTGGACTACTCTGTATGAGAGCACAGGTCCACTTAGATTTTACTCAGTGTACCATAAATACAACCACCGAAAGAAAGAGTCCAAAAGAGATTACTTTTAACGTTCTCTTTCTTGCAGTGAGGAATCGCTTACTGATTCTTACCGACATGCAAGGCAGGAAAGCTTTGAGGAAGCAGGACATCACCCTTCACACGGTGCAGTCCCACCCCGGCACAGCGGGAAGGGTGCTGCCAGCCCGCTGCCACCAAGGCTGAGCCGGAGTAGGATCGCTCATCCCAGATGACACGTTTAGCCCCTAGAGAACACGTGCTACAGGGCCAACACTGACCACCGGGGAGGATGCACTTTATCCTAGCACGTCTCGTACACAAGTTTTCTGCTTCCTAACATACCCACAGTCCCGGCAGGGGCGATGCTGCCGCAAGATCCCTGTCGGAGCCCGCCGGGAGGAGCCCGACAGAGGGGCTACGCTCCTGCCAGCGAACGCAAGGCGGAGGGTGAGCGGGGCACGGCAGTGTTCGCCCCCTCGCCGAATTTCCGCAGGACCGAGGGCTGGAGGGCAGGTGCATCTCGCCGGCCGAGGGGCTGCTGCCCCACGGCACAGGTGAGGGTCAGGGCAGCGCAGCCCAGGGCAGGACCCAGGGCAGGCACCAGGAGCTGCCCCAGGTGGATGGGAAACCCCCACGACCTCTCGGGCACGGGCTCGCTGCGGCTTCTGCTCCACGCGAGGGCGGAGGACGACCCTGCCCGGCCGGGGAGCGTCTCTGCCCGGCTGCCCAGGGGCGGCCGTGACAGACCCCGCCCGGCCGGAGCCACCGCGCCGAACAAAAGGCCCGGCCGAGGCCCGGAAACGTCCCGGGGCCGCGGGCCGAGTCGCGCCGCCAGCGCGGGGGGCGAACCTCAGCGCGGGGGGCGAAGCCCAGCCCGGTGGCCCCGCACGGCCTGCGGCTGCCGCTGACCCTGGCCCGCCTCTCACCGCCGCGGCGGGCCCTGCGGCGGGCACGGCGGGGAGGGGGAAAGAGGGGAGAAGGACGCAATGCAACAGCTCCGGCGGCGCCGAGGGACGGAGGGTGGGAGGGGGCAGCACAATAAGGCCAGCGCAGCCTCTGCCCCTGCCGGTAACAAAAGCTCCCCAGCCGCAGGGCTGCCTTCGCCTCCCCGAGCTGCGGGGTCTGAGGTGGGCGGTGAGAGCCGAGAGAGGTCTCGCCCTGCCGCCCCCTCCCCGCCATACCCCCGACCCGGCCCCCCACACAATGCAGCCCCCGCCGCCCCGGGGGCCGCCGCACAAAGCGGACCAGTCCCGCCGCCCATCCCGCACCGACCTTGAGTCGCCTCGGGCGCCCCTAAGGTTTTGGTCACTGCCTTCCACACGTTGCAGCCCAGCAGGCAGAGGAGAAGCGCCGCCGACCTGCTCATTTCCACCCGCCGCCGCCAGCCGCCGCCAGGGAGGGAATCGCCGCCGGAGCCGCTGCCCGGAGGAGGAGGAGAAAGAGCCGCATCAGGGGCTGGCCCGCTCCGCGCCTCCCTCCATGTTGCCGTGCGCTGCCCCTCCTGCTTTCTCCGCCTGCTGCATTGTCGTCCCGCCGCTGCGCCCCGGCTCCGCGTCCCGCGCTGTCCCCGCGGGCGGCGGATGCGGGGGGGAGGAGGGGGAGGCGAGAGCACTCCGCGGCTCCGCTGCCTGTCCGCCCGGGTTTATTCTTCAATTCCCCACCGTGTATCCCCCCGCTCTCCCGGCGGGAGCAGCCCAAGCTCCCCGCCCGCCCCTTAACCCTTGGCGGCACCCCCTGCCCTGCCCCGCGCCGCGCAGGCCGCGCAGCGCCCCCTGCCGACCGCGCCCCGCCCCGCCCTGCTCCCGCCGTGGCTGCCCGGCGGCAGCGGCTGCAGCCCCGGCCCCGCCACCCCGGCCCGGCCCCGCCGCCCTGGCCGCTGCCCGGGGCAGCCGCGCAGCCCGGCCGCCCTTCGCCAGGTGCTGCCGCGCTTACCTGCCGTGGGGGGCTGGGTCCTGCCCGGCCGCGCCCGCCGCTTTCCCTCCCCGAACGGCTGCAAAATGGCCTCCCCGGCGATGCCGGCCCTGCTCGCCGCAGCAGCGGGAGGGACGGGCGGGAAGGCGGGCGCGGTGCCCCGCTCCCCCGCACGGCTCGGACGCGTAGGGTCGCAGGGTCCCTCACGGCCACGCGTGACCGCCGACCGGGGCCCCTGCTGCTGCTGATGTGGTATTTAAAGAGGGTTTAAAAAGCACCACGAAACAACCAACCACAAAGCAACAGCTAATGCACCCATCTACTGGTTTTAATGCAAAATTGTTTTAAAAATGCTGTTGCAAACTGCACGGGAACGGCGAACTCTGGGTTGGAAACAGAGGCATCGAGGGCTGAGGTCGGGCACGGCGGGTCCCGCTCTGCACCGAGCGGGGCACGGCCGGGGCAGCGCTGCGGACACTGCACAGGGCAGGACAGGCTCCCTGGGGCTTCCTCACTGCCGCGCTGCACCTTCCACAAAAGCATCTCTCGGAGTGCTTTTCTCCAGGCCAGCGGGGGCTGAACGCAAGGGCACAGCCGTCACTCCTCCCCTCCCGGGCTCTGCTGAGCATTATGTGTCCTAAGGGAGGGAGAACAGGCGCTCCTCATGTTTCCTCCAGCGCAGAGGTTGGTGCTACAGAAAGCTATTATGGCAAGTCTTTACACAGCTGTGCAAAGCACAGCCCCTGCCCAACCGGCTCACGGGTTTCCCACGATCTGCTTCCAAACACTGCCAATGCTTCAGTTTCCCTGTAAGACTGAAGTTTGTATACCTTCAAGTTTAATCTCTCCCCGAGGTGTCTTAAAGCTTCAGGATTTATTTGTAATATCTATTTTTAAATAAAATCTGTCAATAAAAATGCAATGCATTATACATTGATTTTTAGAAAGCAGTACAGTTGTTTGTCACTTCGATATTTGACCAGAGTAGCTATACCACGAGCTACCACAAGGTTGTTCCTTTTATGAAATTCTATTGCCCCAGAAGTGTTAAAACTGATTTTCCAGATTTCTTTAGAGACACTACAATTGATTACAATATATTTTGGGTTTACTGTTTAGTTTTTCAAATGCATTTTCTGAGTGTTGATAAATAACATGTAGACACTGCAACTTTATCTTTGTATCCTGAGAATTTGGAGGATTTATTTGTAAAGTTCAGTCCTACAAGAAAACAAGGTACAAAAAGGCAATTCAGTTCACAGAGAAGACCAAATGAGCAAATACAGATCATGTGATCTTACTCCTGCTTGCCACAAACAAAGATTTCAATATTGTAAATTCATGGCATGTCTGAACAGTTATCTTGCATGGAGCGTGGCCTGAGGAGCCCGGTGGATTTATAAGAAAACTAATCATACTTTAGGATCTGTTAGTGACTGTGAGGCAACTCCTTAAAGAAAGAAGCTTGGCCATGTGGCAAATAATCACATATAGCATCTTTTTTTTGAGATCCTGTTTCCCTTTTTCTGGATGTGCATGAACTTAAATTAGCATAAATAGGATGAACGCAGAGCTAGGAATTTATATAAAAGCTCTTTCTGTCCATAATGAAAGCTAGAGCAATTTGTTACAGAGAAGAAAATGCATTTTTCTGAATATACCTGTATTCTTTTCCTGAATATAGTTGTATACTTTTCACAAAAAAAAACCCACAAAAAACCAACAAAAAACAACAAAACAAACAAAAAGCACCAAAACCAATCAAAACCAAAAAATACCACCACCACCACCCTCAAACCTCTCTCCCCCCTGCCCCAAAAAAAGCACAGATACAACAGTCCTTGCAGCATCAGTAGATAACATGTAACGACAGCTGGCAAAGGAATGAGAAATTGCATAGAGAAGACAAAATCGTAGAATGGTTTGGGTTGGAAGGAACCTTAAAAATCACCTAGTTCCAACTTCCCTGCCATGAACAGGGACACCATCACAAGATCAGGTTGCTCAAAGCCCTATTAAACTTGGCCTTGAACACTTCCAGGGATTGGACATCCACAGCTTCACTGGGCAACCTGTTCCAGTGTCCCATCACCCTCACAGTAAAGAATTTCATCCTAATATCTCATCTAAACCTGCCCTCTTTCAATCTGAAGCCATTCCTCCTTGATCTATCACTACAGACCTTTGTAAAAAGTCCCTCTCCAGCTTTCTTATAAGTCCCCTTTATGTACTGGAGGCTGCTATAAAGTCTTCCTGGAGCCTTCTCTCCTCCAGGCTGAACAACCCCAACTCTCTCAGCCTTTCTTCATAGGAGAAAGGCTTCAGCTCTCTAAGCATCTTTGCAGCTTCCTATGGACTCACTCCAACAGGTGTGAGCTTATCTGGGGGCCCCAAAGCTGTTCACAGTATTCCAGGCAGGGTTTCATGAGAGTGGAGGAGAGAGCAGAATCACCTCCCTCACTCAGTCAGCTGGTCATATTTCTTATGATACAGCCCAAGGTACCTCTGGGCTGCAGATTTTGAAAACACAAGCTATATGTTGTGCCACACACTCCCTGCATCATCAGTCTGTATTTCAGCTCAGATATGCTTACAGACTATGCTGGGCACACAGAGCTTGTCTCCTACCTGAATAAGCTGAATTTATCTATATGATTGTATGGTAGCACTCTCATAAATGCACCCATTCATGAAATGAAGCTGAGCTATTCCTCCAAAGAGCTTCTCTTGGAATGATCTTTTCTCCCTTGCTTCAGTGAGCACTGAAGTATCTAACACTGACATACTGGTAATGCCATTGATTCCTGGATGAAAACTCCCTGTGACACATGGGATAGTTGATGTCCCAGAGCTGAGTTCAAATCTTCCTCAAACTTAAGCAAATATCAGTTATACTCCAGTCACGTTTTCGTGCCTTGTTTGCTGACACCCATTGGCTAGACACCCTTAAAGAAAAAAAAAAAGGAGACAATTTACTGCAGCCTGAGTAAACACCAGAGGGAAGGTGTCAATAAATATTAATAAAATAATATGACCAAAGTCAGGCTGTAGTGAGGGCTCAGCTCTGACTCTGGTCATGCATGAGCCAGCAGTGTGCCCTTACAGCAAAGACAGTGAATGGTATCCTGGGCTGCATTAGATAATGAAGGTGATCCCACTCATCTCCTCAGCATTTCTGAGGCCACACCTGGAGTGCTGTGTCCATTTATGGGCTCCTCAGCACAGGAGAGGTGTGGATGTACTGGAAAGAGTCCAATAAAGGGTCATGAAGATGATGATGGGACTGAACCATCTCTCCTATGAGGAAAGGCTGAGAGAGCTGGAACAGGTCAATCTGGAGAAGAGCAGGCTCAGAGGGGATCTGATCAACGTACATTAATACCTGAAGAGGGGTTCAAAGAGCCAGGCTTGTGTCAGCTGTGCCCAGGGATAGGATCAGAGGCAATGGGCACAAAATGAAACACAGGAGGTTCCCTCTGAACATCAGGAAGCACTTTTTTATTGTGAGGGTGACTGAGCACTGGCACAGGCTGCCCAGAGAGATTGTGGAGTCTCCATCCATAGAAATATTCAAAAGCCACCTGGACATAACCCTGAGCCACCAGCTCTAGGTGGCCCTGCCTGAGCGGGCAAGTTGGACCAGATGACTTTCATAAGCTCCTTCCAGCCTCAACCATTCTGTGATTCTGTGATTTCTGTTCAGAAAGAATACTTGACCCCTAGCATTGGAGGTGCAGTGGAAACTAGATGGCTGAACCTATTCCTATCCAAAGGTGGGATTTTTTCCTTTCTACAGCCTTTCCTATTTGAAGCTACGCACAGGACATTTTAACACTATACAAACAATGTAAATTATATTTTAAATTGTACAAACACATTTTCAAACAGCTGACCATTCACATAGTGAATACTAATATACTTACAACATGACTACCTATTAATGAGTCTTTCTGTACCAATCATTACTAGACAGACAGTTCCAATGAGTGCCTTGCAGAGAATAGAGATTACTTTGCAGTTAGGCATATAGTTAACATTTCCAATTTTTAATCAGTTTTCAGACACTTCTGAATGGTGTGTTAAATACACTTCAACAAAAACTTGGGCTAATTAGTTCTTTTCTATTCTCTCTCCCACAACTAGTACTGTATTTCTTCTGGTATTATTTCCACAAAGACAAATGTAAGTTATGAAAGCAGTGCTTGGACAGCCAACGACGAATCTATAATGGATTAACAGTTAAATATTTTCTACATAGCAAGTGAATTCATTGAACCAGGAGGTGCAAATGTTCGTAATAAAGGCATATCTCTAGCCTTTCTGGTTGGTAGCAGCAGTCTGTGCATCTGAGAATTGCTTTGAAGTACTTTTATCATTTTTAGAAGAGTTCTTGTTTACAGTGCAGAAGTTACTTTACATATGGAAGATCACACAAAACTAAATCTAAACCAAGAAAAGAGTGAACATCAGAGTACAAAGCCCTGAAGATTATTTTGCAATACTCCTGGTAAACTGAGCTAGCTACAGATTATGTAGTATTACACATTTTACATGAAAATTATAGAAGCTATTTAGTCCTCAATATTTCAAAGAGAAAAGCAAAGTTTTATGGCCAAGACAACAATTATTTCATATTCTTACATGAAATCTAGCAGTGTTTGGGTACTACTGTTGTTTTAGTTGGAGACATACTGAATGTGGATGGCAAAACATAATGCTGTCTTTTGCATAAATAGCTTTTACCCTGAAGATCTCACATGCTGTGCTATTAATATGAGTCAACTAGTGCCTATACATGCTCATAAGGTAAAAAAAATGTTTGCCTAAGCAAGACCTAAGTACTTGTTTACATAGGGAAGTCAGCATGAAACAGCTGTGTGTGAAATAGATCCCCATACCTGACTGCACATTAAATCCCTTGGCAGACAACTGGATGTGGACCAGCTCGAGGCTTCAATAAATATTAGAGCCAAAAGTAGCTTTTAATGGCCTATTTCTATATTAAATAAAATTATATGTATCTTGTGGGAGCTGCCAGAAGGGGACCAGGCTGAGATTTGAAAAAAAGCTCTGTAAGCATTGCATAAAGGTTACAGAGGAAGGTTAATAGGGAGTCTTGAAGTCAAAATGAGGGTTTTAGGAGGCTGGGTTCAGCAGTGGAGAAGGGACTGGGAGACTCGTCATTCTGA